TATTATCCAACTATGCTAAATATAGTCGATATTTCTATGTATTTCACATCTGACAACCATCACAAAATGGCTGGATTATACCATTCAGAGCAAATGACTAAAACTGTGGAGTGAGTCAATTTGACATCGACTAGTGCTTGACCATGTCGAAAAATATATCGATATTTGACGATATGTCCGAATTAATGATGATGTAATTGTACAATACAATAACACTTAAAAATACCTATATAACAGTATCCTACAATCTGATGTCATTAAATTTATAATAGTAATGTTTATAATTAAATAAAAATATTATAAATGCAAAAATTATAATTAGTATCTGTATTTAAAATATTTAAACACATAAATTACACGAATTTTCGGATTTCCTAGTGACCATTCTAGGAAAAAAAGTGGGTAGAAGCAGTTCGTAGATATGAAACCTGGATTCCGACGAAACACAGCGCCATATGCAGTGTACATTTCAATACTGCCTGTTTTAATACTAATGCAAAGAAACACAAAATGACACCAATGAAGGCAGTCTCATTGCCCATAAAGACAAGGGAAAACTGATACTTCCCTCAAGTGATACCATAGCTATTTGTCACCACTGCGAACTCGAACATACGAAGGGTGTTCAGAATAAAAGACTAAAAAAAGATTACACAACAGACTATCTCCTACCGAAAGTAACAGAAACATTGCTGCAACTTCTGATATACGAAGACATTCATTTCCATAAATTTGAAAACGACGACGTGAATCACTTCAAAGAATTAACGAAAGCCGTTGCTAAAAAGTATATAAATATTAGAATTGCTTATATAAGAAAATAAGGAAACAAGCAAATTCTAGGAAACACATTTTAAGAAAGATGATATATAATAAAAGTCAGTAAACCTATCTAAATAATTTAAACTTTACAAAAAATTTGACGTTTATCATAACTAATTGAACAAAAAGTCCATAACAATGTCCTGCTTCTTTTATTTTAATTAAAATTTAAATACCAGAAGCTTACCTCACCTTCATTATCCCTTTATTTCCTTTGTTTTACAGCTTATTTACGATACGACTTTTCTTTCTCAGTTGTTCATCGATATATTTTATCGACTACGTTCAAGCACTAGAAATAGAGTAAAATTCTACGAATTTCTTATCTGTGTTTATATTAACGTAATAAAATCATTGTGTGCGTTATTCTCCACTTGGTTGAACGAGTTTTCATACATTTGTGTTTTATGTGGGGTCCAGTGTTTAATTCGTTAAAGCTCAAAATGTATGTCGGGCGGTGGTCGGGGAACCAAGGAACAACTCCTCATTGATGCGGTCACTGAAAAAGTGGTTAAACGCAACCGTCGGAACTTCTCCGTCGATGGATGACTATAGAAAGGCATTTGACTCGGTGCCTCATACATGGCTAAAAATAATCCTCGAGCTGTACAAGGAATACAAGTACAAAGAATACAAGTCTGTACAGTTAAAGACTACCTCGAGCAGTTTATGGAGCAGTGGAGTACAATCCTTAGTTAGCTAGGCGAGCTGATGACGGATGTGGAAAGGCGCATAAGGATAAGAAGTGGTATCTTCCAGGGCGTTCGCTTGAGTCCAATCTGTTTCTGCCTCTCCTGAACCCTCTCAGTACCTTATTGGAGGGATTAGGGAGGGGATTACCGCTTCGAAAAGGAGGAACTAACTATGTGGAAATTAATTACCAGCGACTTCCTTTGGAAAAGCTCCGGCACGTGTATTAATTACTGCAGATTGAGATTGCTCTATAAATAGAATAAAAGGCACTGTAGCTAGTTTTCCTTTGCCTAGCCGCGGGCTTATAAAATTATATGCAGATGAATATTCAAAATATGATGTTATACACGTACGATCGTAATGAACTTGACGAACGGATAGAGCTATATTTTATATGAAAAACTTAATTACAGTATTTTTTTTAAATAGATAAAACATTAAAATAAATGACCATTGATGATTAATTAAAATAAATCTAAATGACACCATATTAATATATCCTATCCGGATGAAGTCGAGTCAGGTCGCTAGTAATAAATAAGATATCAGTTTATACCTATATTTATTAAAGGACTTAAGCTACAAAGGATAATGTTTATAGAGAGTAAGTCAGCTCAAATTCTAATTTCGCCCCCACTTCCCCGCCGTCGTGCCGATATGTTTGTAATCACTAATACTGTAAGTAGAAAGGTCGTTAGACACTTATTTCATTAGGTTTATCATATTTGTGCCTGTTTCTTAACGCCAAGCCAGCCGCTTCTTATTTTTATCACGGTTATTTCCCATTTTAATTTTACGTCGTACTGTTGCGTAATGTATATTCTGATGTAAGCACACAACTTCTCCCTTCAAAAGCCTAAGCGATACTAACGGGCGACAGGAATCAAGCTCAAGACGCCGATAGTTTAGGTAATTTCTTTTTACAGTGAAAATAATGGTATTTTAAAAAAAGTAAATAACATAAGCACTGCTTTATAGTTCAGTTAGTATGCAAAGTTTCAATGCAATATTTCATGCAATATTTTCGGCATAACGAAGGATCTTGCTAAGCCATTTGACATTATATTTCCCCTTAAAGCAAAAGGTTCGATTTGAAGTATTTATGGAATTAGGTTACAAAAGACAATGATTATTTTATGCCTTTTACCTAAAGATTCAATTTGTAAACGAATGATTTACAAAGCTGTTCAATCAACACATAAACAAAGGGCTCAGAGATTTAGGTACGCTTTGGACTTTAATTAACCCGGTCAATGGATATTCGGGCACATTCCTTATTCAATATACCAATTGCTTGTAATTGAAGTAGGTATTTATAGGTACATGCACATGCAAAACCGAACGGAAAGCTAATTTAAAATTAATAGACTTCGCTTTATCCAGGTTTTATGTAACGCGTATTATAGCTTTGCTCATAATAAATTAAAATGAAATTAAAATTGTGTTTATTTTCATGAAATGAAGACTATTTTTCGACGTGAGTATTGAAAATTTCGGTTGTCGTCACTATGTTTTTTAAATATACTTCGTTCCAAAACATTGAGCTATTATTTACTACGTACTAGAGGCGACACTGCATTCAGCTACTCTGTTCCACTCAACTGCGGTGCATACACCGCACTTTAATCAGTCACTCGCTAGGCGCTTGTAGAGTTGTCACGTGTTGTGTTGATTTAAAAAAAAACTCTTGATAAAAATATGCCGTCGTGTGTACTTAGATATTGCACAAATAATTCAAGAAATGTCAGTAAAACCAATGTATTACTTTTCATCGGTTAATAAGATAATCAATAAAAAATTATTATAACTTAATAATAAAACAAATTATTCCTAAGACGCCATCTTGTGTTATGTAATATAGATTATGAAATTAATTTGTTCAGATGCGATATTTCTGTGGGTACTTAAGTATAGGACGAATATATTATTATACACAATTTTTGTTGTAGAAATATATATGAGTTATCATAATTAGGCCAATTTTTTGTATTTAAATCCGCTCATTATTCTTTTATATTATTTTCTGGTTTCCACATCAAAGTCAAAGTGGAATAAATTTGTCCATTTTTAACTCTCGCGTACCCAGCATTTATGATTTTTTTATTTTTTATGTTTTTCGAGATACCTTTAAATATAGATAGAATATTATTAATGTAATTGTGATATAATATTAGTTCGATTAATATACAAAATAAATGACAAAATTTGAAAATTGTTCTCGATATAATTTACCTATTTAACAATACAATCTACCTACTGATCATTCTACCTATGTTTATTCTATGATAAAAAACCAACCGCGCGAACACAGAGTAGCGCACATGTTTTGTTTGAAGTAGCTGTTCTAGTACGTAAATACATATTACTTCAATGTTTCAAACCAATTTTTTTTACTTTGTACTAAAAAAATATATACCACTTTTATTTTTCATATTCCTACATTGTCACCAGACTCTGAACTATGTTCGAAATTTAAATTCTCTAGCTCATTGGGAAATGTTCGAAATTTGAATTGCAAGATTTCGTCCGAAAAGACAGATAACAGACAAACAAGAAAATGACATAATAAAATTCTCTAACCTTCATGATAAAAACGTTAAAAAATGAGGTTCCTCTAAGGAGAAGGAACGGCCGAAGAAACTCCACAGCTCTCTGGTTTCTGACGATGTTAATGCTGTTGTGTGTTGGTTTGGCTTTTACAGCTTCGTAAGTAATTACAGCTTCATAGGTACTCCACAGCTACCATTTTTTTGTTATCGGTTCTTTTAAGAATTATGATTTAATATTCAATTTAGAATTTACAAATAAGAATATACCCATAGGTATTAACGCATGTTCTCTAATAAAATTGCATAACAATGAAAACAGTATAATTTCTAATTAAATTAACTGTTGATTACAATAATTACCATCGTAAAATAGCAGATAAATTGTTTGCGCGGTTTTTCATATCCCTTTACACTCGGATTGATACGAGCGTGAGTTTAAATTCAAAAAAATACTGGCACCAAACGGTTTACTTTTTCCGAACGCAACCGGCGTCGATCGTTCGCGAGGTGTATTTTACGCGCGGAAAATAGATACGGGTGGGATGCAGGGTTGGATTTTGTACGATAATTATCGTATTTGTACGATAATTTGTCATTAAGTACGATATACTATCCTAATTTAATTATCGTACGTAAAAATACGATAATTTCTAGGTTGAAAAACTATTTTAAAAAATTACCTGAAAAAATCTTTTTCTATATAGCAACATTGAACTCCGTATCAAATGCATAGACATAGATCCTAGTATGCTTTATGCTTGGGACTTTCCCGAAATGTATAGCGGTTTACACACTATCCCAAATGAATGAATGAAATGTACATTTCTACGCTCAAGTTTACTCACTTTAGTTCTATAGTTCTATTCCACCCCGCGATTAAGAAACAACTATTATATTTTTTAATTTCTTGACTTGTGAACTCGAAGAGCAATCTTAATGTCGAGTGAAAGTGACACTGATAAAGCTTCGGCTTCCACTCCAAAAAAGCAGCGCCTAGTAAGAGGTGATTTGGTGAAAAAAGAGAAGCACCGATTACAAAAATATAGAGTTGAGTGGGAAAATGACCCAATATTTAGCAGGTGGGTTGCTCGTGACAATTTTGATGTATATAAAGCACGGTGTAAAGTATGTGAAACATCCATAACGGCCGATAAACAAGTTCTAGTGAAACACTCGGAAGGTAAAAAACATTTGAAAAATTTATCTGTAGTACGTGGATCCAAATCAGTTACGTCTTATTTTGCAAGTACATGTAGTTCATCATCGGAAACAAACACAAAAAAAATGGCTACGGTTGCAGAGATCAAGCTGGCTGCTTATTTGGCCGAACATAACATAGCCTTCAACGCAGCAGATCATCTGGGTAAACTGCTTAAAGAATGTTTCATAGATTCAAAGGTCGCAAAAGAAATTAATCTAACTAGAAAAAAATGTGCAAAAATAATATGCAATGTTATAGCTCCTAGTCATAAAACAGTTATGGTGGTTAAGCTCACAAATACAAAGTTTAGCATCATGACTGATGAATCCACTGACATTTCCACCAACAAAACTTCATGTGTAGTTGTCAGATTTTATGATGAAACGGAAGGCAGAATTAAAAGTCAATTTTGGAATTTGCATGACATTTTCAGTGACAATGATACTGAAACAGCAAATACAGGAGCTACTGCTGGTACTATATATAATAAATTGATTAAATCATTTACGGAACACGGCATTCCTCTCAAAAACGTAGTGGGATTTGGATCGGACGGGTGCAATGTTATGATGGGGGCCGAAAACTCCGTAGCAAGCAGATTTAGAAACGAATGTCCAGGCATTATAATTATAAAATGTAGCTGCCATTCCGCCCATCTTTGTGCAAGTGCAGCGTGTCACAAACTGCCCAATAGATGCGAAGAGCTAGCAAGAAACGTATTCAGATTTTTAAAAATGAGTTCAAAGCGATACGCTCAGTTACAACAGTTTCAAGTATTTTTAAATCTAAAGCCTCAAAAAATGCTACATCCATCGCAAACTAGATGCTTATCTCTAGTTGATGTCGTTACAAGGATAATAACACATTGGGATGCCTTAAAGCTGTATTTTACCGACATGGCACTTTCTGAGCGTTTAGTATCAGGCCAATTGACATTAGACTTGCTCAGCGATCCATATATGAAACTATACTATGACTTTATGTCCTGGATACTGCCTAAATTTACTCATTTCAACAAATACTTCCAATCGGCAGAAGTTGTAATAACTGAATTGGACTCGAAAATAAAAGATCTGTACAGATTTTCTGCTATGCTTCATGGACAGAAATTACGTTAACAGGTCTGAATTAAGTAATATTGATCCGGCAGATTCAAGACACCATTTAAATATTGAACAACTATATCTTGGAATTGCTGTTGCATCAAAAATAAACACTTCTGAAATAAAAGCGGGTAAACAACAGCGCACAGAGTTCCTGCATAGGTGTAATGATTTTCTGGATGAAGCTGCCTTACAAATAAAGAAAAGATGGGATTTCGACAGTGCACCACTGATAAAAATATCCTTGTTGGGTCCGAAGAATGCGATGAGCGAAGAAATAAGAAAGGATAACCCTTCAATCCTACCCATTGCGTTAGCATTTCGTAGGGTCGTCGACGTAGATGATATAAACGTTTTGCAAATTCTGGATAATCAATGGCGCAAGCTACCCTTTGCAAAAATACCAGAGGAAATAAAAACTGAAAAGAAAGTAGATGTATTTTGGGCTAAACTTAATAATTAAGTAAATGGAGTGATCTGACAGAAAACAAGCCTTTCAGCGATATTTCTCAATTCGCGTTGGATTGTCTCGTGCTTCCACACGCAAACGCAGATTGTGTACGAATATTTAATAAGATCAATCTTACCAAGTCAAGGACTCGGAACAGACTAGTAACAGGAACTATAGATGCAATCTTAGTGTGCAATCTAAGTGGCAATTGCACCGATTTTGAACCGACGGAAGCAATGTTACGAAGATCCAATAATAAAAGTAATGACGGAATGCAGTGTATTGACCAAGTTGCAGAAATTGATATAAATATACCATAATTCCAAGTTAAGTGATAATTTAAAGTTGTATAATTGATTATTAAACTGTATACTTTCTTATTTTCTTTATTTATTATTCTTCTCAAGTGTTATAAATAAAAACATTATCGCGTTATATTTAATTTCTCAGATGTACGATCTTTTTTAATAAATACTATCTTTTTGAACGAAACGTACTATATTTTTTTACCTGTCCGATTCCAACACTGGTGGGATGGGAGCAGTCAGTCAGTCAGTCACCTGTGAGCTGAGATGAAAGATGGCTGCGTTTTTCGATCCTCGCCGCGCCGCGGGTAAGTAATTATTTTTAATAGTAATTTTAAAGTATTTGATTGTGTTTTATAATTATTTTAAAGTTAAAAGATAACCCAATACCTAGATTATTTTGATTTTGTGCTGACCTTTACGGTTTCGTTAGAATTACGTTATAAAATACGACCGCTACGATCGTGCTGCTCCGGATGTACTACCGAAACATTATTCGGGAGGGGGTACTGTACTTGATGATTGTTTTTACATAGATTTTGTAATTAATAGTTACTTTTTTTTAACGTTTTAGGCAGAAGTTTGAACGAAGATCAAGTTATACAATTGCTGGGCGATGGAAACTTCTCCGACATCGAAGATTTTGAGGACGACGACGACGAAATCCAACCCAGCACTTTCGAAAATCTTCAGTTAGATGATCCAGAGCCTGAACCACAGCCGTCTGTAGCACCGGAGCCGGAACCGATGCAAGATACTCCTGGACCATCACAACTAACTCCGCGCCCTCGATCTTTACGGCCACCTTCTCGAAAGAGAGTTTGGAAGCAGGTACCTTTCGACGATTGTAGTCATGACTATGCTCCCTTGCCCGTTACTCCGGTCAGGACTCCAATGGAGTATTTCTCCGACTATTTCAACAAAGAGTTTTTTGATGAAATTGCCAGGTGCACAAACATGTACCATCACAGAAAAACGGGCCAGGAACTGAAACTTACAACAGTTGAAGTAGCCAGAGTTTTTTCAATACACATCATCATTGGATGTATTCCCTACCCCCGTGTCCCGATGTATTGGAGAGGTGGAATAAAACTGGATTTAATAACTCAACAAATGGCTCGTGACAGGTTCTTGACTGTCCGCAATGCATTGCACATCGTAGATGCTGATGAAGCTCCGCCAAGTAATAGTAACAATCCACTGTGGAAAGTATATCCGACGATTGACCGGTTAAAATTAGCCTGTAACAAACTTGAAAGAGTTCCTGGCTTCTACTCCATTGACGAGCAAATGGTACCATTTACTGGCAGATGTGTACTTCGCCAGGTAGTCCGAAATAAGCCACGCCCGGTGGGTTTGAAGAACTTTGTGCTGACCACAAGTGAAGGCTTGATGCTAGACTTCGACATATATCGAGGAGCTAAAACCATGTTTGCAGATACATCTCTTGGACTTGGAGCTTCTGTGGTTCTGCATCTGGTGAAAAGTGTACCGCCTGGAAGCTGTGTCTACCACGACAGATATTTTACGACTGTTCCGCTAATTGAAGAGATGACAAAGAGGAATCTTCACAGTACGGGAACAATCATGTTCAACAGGATCCCTGACCGTACTGCGATTAAATTTAAACCAGATGCTAGAATGGCTCGCGGAGAATCACAGCAGTACGTTTGCGGACCGACTGTCGTCGTCAAATGGAAAGACAATAAGTCCGTTCTAATGGCGTCAAACTGCACCGGCTCGTCCTCATCTTCAATCGTCAAGAGATGGGAAAAACACTTGAAGATATACGTAGACGTACCTGTCCCAAAAGTAGTCGAGCATTACAACCAACACATGGGGGGTGTTGATGTTCTGGACCAGCAGATGGAGTATTATCGGACATTCATCAAAACAAAGAAATGGACACTGAAAGTACTGATACACTTTCTTGACTTGGCAATTGTCAACTCTTGGCGACTGTATCGTAATGATTGTATGGCAAATAAATTAAGCAGGAGGGAACTTTTGCCCTTGTTAGACTTCCGCATGAACATTGCTGATGGATTGTCAAGTTTGCCGGCAAGAAACCGGCCATCGACGAGCAATATTGAAAATGAACCGCCGCTGGATGAAAAATAAATCTCCTCTTCCGAAAAGACAGTACAGACCAGCAAACAAGCCGTCTGAATCAAAGCGGTATGATGGATACGAACATTTTCCAGTGTTCGACGAAATAAAAGCACCTAGAATGTGCAGGTACGAAAATTGTACCAGTCGCACAAAGGTACGCTGCACAAAATGCGACACGTATTTGTGTATCGCACGTGGCAAAGACTGTTTCAAGTCTTACCATACCAGAGGATGATCTGATAGTTCCTGATTTGCTTTACAAGCATTAATTAAAATTATTTTTTATTGTAGCGTACAACTTTAAAAGTTTGTTTTGTTTTGTATATATTTTACAGAAAATTTTGTATTATGTTGCCAAAGGCACGAATTAATGTTTAGTTCTAAAAAAAATTATATGAGACTGAATGATTAAAATAACTAAATAATTAATAAAGAGGCTGATTAAGTATAAGCTTTTTTAATTATTCTTTAAAGTACCAAAACATAGGGCTAGTTTAAATTACCCTCACGATCGTGACTATGTCGTGTACGACCTGCGACTCACGATCGTGCGGGTGGATTTGTGGGTAAGCTATGACCTAGAGATTTTTTTAACTGATTTTTTTGAGCTCTATATACCTAGTAGGAAGGCAACATAAAAGTTTTATGGTTAGAATCTGAAAAAAAAATCTCCGGTTGTAAAGGGTTATGGTAAGTGTAGAGGACTCTGAATAAATTATGGTTATATCACTAATGGGTCGGTTCGACTGAAGAAATACCACGCTCTCACAGAATACCAGCGTAAAATAGCTCAATGCGTTTCGTATGGTGAGTGTAGAGAACCGGAGACCCTTTTTACTGGAAGCGAGGCTTTTCATCTTAGTCTCAGGGGTACCAACATATCTGAAATTTGATTTTCAATTGAGGATAAATGTAGATGTCTATGGGCCACACCATCAACTTACCATCAGCTGAACGGTGTGCTCGTTTGTCACCCTCATATTACATAAAAATTACACTGACCTTTTACTCTGGAAAGTGAGTCTAAATAGCTACAACATCCTAATAAAATTAAGCATTATCTACAAAGTAAAGTAACAGCCTCTATGTGTGCCCCATAGCTTGACACTGGCGTGTTCTCAGTTTTGAGAGAGTTTTAGGGCAACAAAAAGATCGCCACTCTGGTCGATTTACCTATCTTTTTATTGGTAACATAATAATATTAGCTCTCAGAGGTAATAATGCATTTGTATTATGATTCTTAATTGTGTCTACTTACCATGAGGATATGAGGTGAAGGTGAGGTAATAGTTTGTTACTCTTATTCAATAAAAAAACCATACATGTAGCACTCTACGTATGTAATAATAGCATAACCATCTAACGGATAAGTCGAGCTTATTATAAAGGCACCATTAACCCCATTAATATCCCCACTGACCCCCCTCCATCGGTCGTCGAACCCTACGACATGTAGGGTGTCGTAGATTTCATTCTGAAATATATGGCGTGTTTTTACACTAAACAATCTAATTTATTATAATTCGTGCGATGGCCCAGGCAATACATTTATTCAAAACATAAAAGATTTTTAATATTGATATGGTCACAATAAGATGTTAGATTAGCTAATTCCGTTATAACTTAAGACGAATCCTTAAGCACAGAATAAATAAACTAACTTGATATTATTACATGGATCTCACAACTTTTTACGGTAGAAGAACTGAGTTGCGAGACTTGTTTTTTTACTAGTTATGTTTTTGATGGCCGAAATATATCTATTAAAAACTATCGAAATTAAAATAATACGCACCCAATTATCAATTTCATAATATGTTAATGTAAAAAAAAGTAAAATATCAGTGTCATAGGCTTTTATTCCGTTCACCTGCTACACCTTATTTTTTCGAGACGGCAAAAAAATCACCCAGTATATTGATTATGGTCTAAGACTACCATAGTGACATAATATTCTCTAATTCCGCCACTCAGCGTTAGGAGCTGCGACATATTGAATGAATGAATGAATGAATGAATATGCTCTTATTGTACACCACAAACAAATATACAGATAACAAAACAAAAGCAGATTATAATATGTAAGTACAATTTCACGTTTACGCAACGGGCATTCCAGAGCTTGATAGATTGGACTGTAAAAGATTTATTAAAAAAGGAAGTATTGTGAGTTGGTACTCTTATAATTAATTTTATTGAAGAGCGTAGAGGTTCTCCCGGAAGCCCTACAACATTAAACTTCTCCTTTAAATAAGGAGGTATAGAAGGGTGAAATAATACACAGTACCTACAGAATAGAAAGAATATGCATGTTCCGGCGAAGTCGGATAGGTAACCGCTTGAGATGTGAGCGAAATTGTGAGATATGGTCAAATTTGTGCAATCCAAATATGAACCGAATACTAGTGTCTCGCTTTATGTCCTCAGTTATATCTACATAGTGACTGCGAGCATAATTTTTGTAGGAATGGGAAGAAAACCGTTTACTTGACGAAAGGCAATGCCTTATTCGCTTATGCTATACAATCGTTTTTCTATTTTAGGAAAATATTACACTACAAAAAAAATTTAAGAGTAAATGAGGGCTTTATTAGTGACTTTCTGGCAATCCTGAGCAGTGACAAGCCACACACTACCGAGTTAGCCATAAAAAGTTTTTTTTACTTTCCAATAGGGCCCCAAATTCTTGTGTGCCCAAGGGCCCCGGTATGGCCTAAGATGGCGTTGGTAACGGTGGTCCGCAACATCTTACTGATAATCTTTACCGCAATCGTATAGAGACGATGACACTTTGATGCAGTTAAAGAATATATATGGTTAGTGTTTCATTTATCTAAACCACATTCGCACAGAGAACTATCCCTATTCCTACGTTTAGCTAGGTGAACATAGGTACAGGCGTGTCCAATTGTCAACTGGCAGGCAACATAAGTAGCATGCTTATTTGCTTTATTAAATATGAAAAAACAAGGTCTGGATTTTTTTTTATAGAAGAGGGGGCAAACGAGCATGCGGCTCACCTATGGTAAGTTTCGACCGCCGCCTATGAGAAACTGCAACACTAGGGGAATTGTAGTTGCGTTGCCGGCCCTTTAGAAAGGAGTACGCTCTTTTCTTGAAGGTCCCCAGGTCGTATCGGTCCGGAAAAATCGCTGGTGGTAAACTATTCCACAGAGAGGTTGTACGCAGAAGAAAACTCCTCTTGAAACGTACAGTGGTGGACCGCCAAGCATTCAGATGGATGGATGGAATATTATCTTGAATAGCGGCATAGTGCTTGCCTTTTAGGAGATGTCTTACTTCGGTTTCCCTCTGTCGTCTTTTAAGACACCTAGCTGACGTCTCGTCTCGCTCTCGTGGGCCATGTCAATGAACTATGGGAAATAACGAAAAACAAAGAAAAAACAGAAAAGAATAAAGACTAATACGATGCCCTTCTCGTATTGGAACCACGTAATTTAGTGGATTTATCACGTATTGTGAGTGTAGAGAATCGGAGACCCTTTTAACTGGACACGAGGCATTCTATCAATCTTCTGGGTTGCTTACGCATCTGAATTTTAATTCTGAATTGATGATTGATGTAGGCATCGAGACACTATGTAAGGTGGGTGTACCATGGAAGGTCACTCTAACAAATAAACAGTTCTTATTCGTTTATTTACTGGATAAATGAAACTAACAAATATTTAAGTAATACTTTGTTTTATTACGTAACATATAAACCACTTTCTTAAATTGCAGATTTAATCAATATTGATTGAACTTAAGTTTCATTGAACTCTTCCAAATGGCCTTGCTAGGAACAAGGCGTTTTAGACCATTATAATAAATCAGTCATTTAACACTAAAGTTTAATAAATAGCGATTAAATCTACAATAAAAATAATTGGTTTATATGTTACGTAATAAAACAAAGTATTACTTAAATATTTGTCAGTTTCATTTATCCAGTAAATAAACGAATAATAACTGTTTTTTGTTAGTGTGGCCTTCCATGGTACACCCACCTTATTTTAACGTCGTCGATTCCCGAAATCAATGAGCGAGGGACCGAACTGCCAAAATAGTAGCGCGAGCGATTCGCCGCCCCATCTGTGATTTTCAGTTCGATGGGTGTTTGTGTAAGTAGAAGGAATTTGTCATTACATGGCAATAACTAAGACATTTTAATAATTGGCCTTCGAAGGAGCATGGCCTTTCATGGTCCACCCACCTTACGTAATTTAGTTCTATGGATATAGGTGTCTATGGACCACAGCATCCACTTACCACCAGGTAGAGTGAATGCTTGCTAGTCTTTTATAAAGTCAGCAAAATCCTATAAACTCTTTTAAAGATGGCCACCTGAAAATATAAGTCAAGCACTATGTCCTCTTACATAATATTACGTAATGGCTCCCGCGTTGCACTTAGCCGGTAGTGACGAAACCCGACCTACGAGACAAAGTCATCTATTTTCAAGTCACGTACAGCATGAAGATAGGTTAGTTTTTTTTCTAAGCTGCGGGTTTTTCGCACGAATGCGGTCTCTAGTACTCTTATGTTGAATCTTTTTACACCTTGATCAGAACACGCCATTATTTATTTACTATCCGTAAATGAAATACGAAAACTTTCCTTTAGAAGTTTGTAGTGAAGACTGCGAGATGGTAGCAAATGAATTTCGTTTGTCAATTAGCAAAGGGTAGGGCAGGTGAGTTTTTACATTATTAGATTTGATTGTGAGAAAATTGGATTAATCAGAGAAGGACCGCATGTTCACAGAAAAATAGCGTAAAATAACAAAGACCCTTTTTACTTGCAACAATTTAGACCTCAGAATTGCCTAATTCTAAATAGAAGATGGATGTCTATGCACCCTGACATTAAGGCGACACCGTGAAAAAATGCACCTCTTTTCATCGAATAGTATAGGACTATGACACCACTAACGTAATTGGGATTTTGATATAGGTAAATTCATGTCTTTATCTTGAATTTGATTGCTCAAAAACACGATTGTATAATTTTGACTCGATCACAATTATTTGCGAAAACACCTCTAAAAATCACTTTAGTTGAACAACGAAATCATTTGATCTATATGCTTGGGAATCACTCAAATATATTCATAACATCAATATTCATAATTTACTTGCTCATTATTTTGATAACTTAAATCAATAATTTTTTTAAAAAATATTTTAAGATTCTGACAATTTCTAAGCGCTTTTAATCGTCGCGGGCGCTACGCAATTTTAGACCTTAAGACGGCGTTTCTTCAAGTTTTTATAGAAATTATGTATTCACTCGGATCAGTACGGCGATAGCGTTTTCGATGTGTCGTCTTAACATCAATTGACTGAGTGCTTGCTTGACTTTTGACTCT